TTTCCCTTAACATCCTCCTGGGAAAGCCTGGCCTCCTGTCCACAGGTAAACACCCCACCTACAGAGCAGATGATGTTCTGTTAGAGCTTGTGTCTGCCCTCTGAAAGGAACATAAAACTGAATCCAGGACGACTGCTCAAAATATGCTTATTGGGCAATCCTCAACTCACAGATCTTCTAACAATATTCTTTATTCCATTGTGTATTTTAAATATGTACCTTTGGAACAGATTGTGAGGATTTAATCAACTGATATGCAATTGTAGTAAAGAGCATAAATATGATATACAATGGAATTACCTAACTCATGAGGTGGTCTGTGTTATATATTAAGGTTTTTATTCCTGGGCCAGAGATATAGCTCAGTGGTACCGCGCCTTCCTGACAAGCACAACGTCCAGAGTTCAGTTCCCAGTACCAAAAAAAAGAAAAGTATTCCTAAAACAACAACAAAAAAACCTTTTAAGCTTGGTCTGCTCTAGAAGTACAAAACCCACATAGAAATGGCAGAATCATTAATACTTAATTGGACCCAGGCTTGCAGAAAGAAACTCAGAGAATGGCATGGCACGCAGTTTAACTTGTACTACGGCAGTGCGTGTTTAAAGTACAAGTGAGAGAATGCACACACACAGGGCTCTCTGCCCTGTTCTGAGCTGGACTAGATGCCCCTTCTAAGTAAGGACACGTATTTAATCTCCATTTCCCCCGCTACAATATGCATCATTTCCTACTGCTCCTCTCTTCCTGAGAGCTCTCTGAGTCCACACACTAATATTTGAGCTGAAGACTGAGAGATTTAGGTCTCTATTTATAGATTTCATCTCTGAAACTCAGCCAAATAATGACTGTAGAAGTGTAACAAATGTAGGTAGGGCAACCGTATAAGTAGTACCTGAAACAAGGCATTGTGCAGCTTGTCTTCAGGTATATTAAGACGTGGACAATGCCTCAGTGTCAAGGTTCACACCTAGATGTCCCCACAGAGCCTCATGTGATCACAGACGGGGCTTCCCAGAGTGTTGCATTATGGGGCCATGGAAGAGCGTATCCCCCTCCCAGGCTCCTCCGCTCACTCACTCCACTTCCTGGCACCAGGAAGTGAGCACTTTTCCCCCACCAGGCCTGTCTGCCGTGCTGTCCTGTCTTGGATCCGGCCAAAGATGGGCTGTAACCCGGAGCCAAAACAAACCTCCCCTCCTTTAAGTTGTGGGTGTCAGAGGCTGTTTCCCAGCCATGAGACATTGGCAGACACACCTCAGTCCTTACTGTCCAGAACAATCTGAAGGGCAATACTGCATCCAGTTGAAGTTCAAAAGCAAAACAATATGATCATCTAAAAGTGGATAAAACTATTATCAGTTTACTTCTCCTGAACTGCAGTGAACAGGTACTGGTCTTCATCACAGAGAGCCCACTGGATGGAACTGTCTCTCTGTGATAAGAGCTCTCGCCAGAGCTCTGTGACAAGACACGTTGCAGTCTTTTACGTTGGCAGACTTCACACTGCCCCTCTGCAAAGGCTTAAGCAAGTGTAAGTGGCAGGTGGATGATTAACAGCATGTCCGAGGACAGAGAAAAATATTAAGACTAGAACCACAACATAAAATATCAGGCAGTGATGTCTAGAAATTTAGGAAGAGGACAGTTATGTGTGGTTATCCCCCACCCTGTATTTTCAGAATGGTACTGTGTTGGTTTGGGGCTTATTTTGCAAGGGGAACAACACGATACAGGACACATACTTTATATGATTATTTATAATAGTCACCCAAAGAACAATATACAAAAGAGTGCAGGAAATCTCTCCACACACTAAGACCAAGGAATCTAGCTGAGAGCCTGGATCCACAACAATGTCCTACATGAGTCCAGCTGAATACCCAGAGCTCATAACAATGCCTCCCATGAATCCAACTGGAGGCCCAGAGCCGACGACAATGTCTCATGCAGGTCTGTTTCACGGATCTGCTGGGAAGGCCCAAAGGTCAGTGGTGGAATCTACAAAGTCTGTGCCAGTAGGATGAAGGACCTGTGCTAGCAGATGAGGGATCTGCACTGGAGCCAGGAAGTGATGCTCAGAAGAACCAGAGCTCCCCCAGAAGGTACCACAGCCATCGTCGGCAACAGTGAGGTCCCGAGCTCCTCCGATGATCAGGATGGCCGAGTTCCCATCAGGAAAAGCAATGCAGCAAGCTTTTCCAGGAGCCAGCAGTGCACCATCTTCCCCTCCGGAACCAGGAAGCTATGCTCAAAGTGAGGACCAGAGCTCTCCAAAGGGAACCAAAGCCATTCTCAGTGCCGGCGAGGTCCCGAGCTCCTCGGAGGATGAAAACAACCAAGTTCATCAGGAAAGCCAGCTCCCCACAGCCTCTCTCAGCTCCCAACAGCCTTGCTTCTTCTTCTCCAGGTCTGCCTCTTATGCTGCTGGCAACAGTCCTCAGGTGGGCCTCCCACACCCAGCACCACAGTTACTCAGTTCAGCTGGGGGTTATAAGTTGACCACCAGTTATCAATCCACTACAGGTACTTTGCTGAGAAAATTACTTCCCATCATAAGCTATTGCATGTGATGGCAAAACAGACACTTATTTACCTCCACTGTTATGCACATAGATGTCTCATTTAATTCCTAAATTACGTATTCTAACTTAAGTGAAACATTAGGAATGCATTAGTCTCCAGCTAAGTTTGTTTTTCATTGGTGCTGTGACAGTATTTGGCTTCTCATCAATGAGTGTGAAGCATTTTTAGTGAAGTAAGTCTCTTCATTTTTCTCAGTACTGTTTGTAGGGTTTTGTAGGGTGTGATAAATTCATTTGAGGCCTCTACTATTTAGTACAATGTTTTCATATATTTACTTTTCTATAAATTTTAATCTTATTTTATTTTTTAGCTTTATTGAGGTGTGATTCACAAAAAGTATAAATTTAAGGTTATAGCGTGACGTTAATATAGCACTCATATGTGTGTGCGTGCGTGTGGTGACCACATAAGATAACAACACACCATTGTTAAAGAGCTCCCAATTGCATTTGACCTGCAGACTTCGTCCTGCTCACCTGGAGCTCTGAACCCTTTGACCACGATCTCTGGTTTATCATTTCCAGTGACAGCATATGGCGCGGGATTTGGCGTTTTAGTGTATCCAGAGTTGATGCCACCTACAAGGCACAATTGCTATTTCTTTTTCCAACTTTTCAGTGTAGACAGGCAGCACATGAAATGTGCTCTATTTAGGTCTTCTTCATGGCCAGTGTTTATGTCTTGCTCTTAAATTTGTGTCTCAAGAGAAAAATGGGACTCTTTTAGCAGAGTTATTAATATTGTCTGGTTATCTAATAGCTCAAAGATAGAAATTTATAGGACTGTGCCTTTTCATTTCATTCCAGTAATTGACTAGTTCAATGAGAAAAACTCACTCCAGCAACAAATATTGAATTCTGTTTGTGCCATCATTTATGTAAGAGTAAATCTTCTCTCCAAGTAAATACATTATTTGTTTGTTTTTTTTGTTGTTGTTGTTTTTGTTTTGTTTTTCTTCTTGTATCATTTAAAATATTTACATCTATAGTTTGTCATTTTTCAAATCATAAACATATATGTCATATGAAATAGTCATTTTTCATATCATAAATACATACTTATCATACAAAAATGTCATATTTCATGTCATAAAATACATATATTTCATTAATAAATTATACAACAATTTTAAAAAGGTAATACTTGCCCATATGTGTTCAATAAAGTAGCAGGCAAAATCCTTGTAAGTCAGTTCACATTAATTGTAATTATACCTTTTCACAAAATTTAAAACACTCTGCAGGGTAAATCTTCAATATCTTCTATATCTGAGAAATTTCCAAGAGACTTGTGCCCCTCTGTTCATTTTGTACCAGAAAAACTCCTTAACTGCATCTCATTATACTCAACTCAGAAACAGAAGGTAGCGTTGTGGTTGTCAGGAGCGAGGGGAATGGAGACTTGCTTTTGGAAATATGTAAATTTACAGTTTTGCAAGATGAATATGTTCTAGAAATCTGTTGTACAACAAAGCACCTATGGTTATAAGCACTTATTGTTCAGCTACAATATTATTAAGGTAGTATAAACCCCCGTAGTATGTGTTATCGCAATTAACTCTTAAAAATCTAGAAATATGACGTAGGTGTTTTTATGTTAAATATAAAATACTTGGTACAAGTATCATAGTCATCTCAACAGAAAATTCTAATATGCAAAGTATCTGACTTAAACATTGTATAAATAATCACTTAATCCATGATAGGAATTACCCAATCATGACACAGCATTGTTCAGGCCCACGTCTCCCTGTTCAGATACAAAAAACAAGATATACTTCATTGTTTGTTTTGTGTTGTATTTTATGTAAAGTTATGTACAGCATAGAGACAGCATGTCACTATGCAGTTCAGGCTGGGCCTGAACTCACTTTGTAGTCCAGTCTGGCCTCTAACTTGTGCTGATCCTCCTGCCTCAACCTTCCCAGTGCTGGGATTACAGGCTGGTGTCACCAAGCCCAGCTATTATTGCTTCTTGAACGCTCGATGAGTTAATTTTCTTGGGCTACCCCCCCTGTTGCCTCTATAGTGAAGCATAAAATATTAGACTTTGTAAATTTTTCTTGCACCCATTATTTTTCACTTTCCTGCTTTTTTTCTTGGTTCATTTTTCACTTTTCCTTTCTCCCTTTCAGCCTTATGGGAGAAGTTGGTTAAAAAGACCAGGGAAATTTTAGTGTCTGACCAGGAGCAGAATTTGGATTTGATTTGTGCAAGAGAATATATAAATTTGGAATATATGTTAGAGCAGAAAATTAAGCTCATTAGTACATTAAGCCAAGAAACTCCGTGGTGACTGAATCCATTAACAGAGAAAGTGCAGAGAAGCAGGTGTCTAAAGACATAGCACTAGGTATACATACATATGTAATCTCCCCCCAAGCCTCAAAAGTGTGAAAGGTGATCAGTCATGGAACTGCTGTACAGCTCAGTTCCTTCAGTCAAGGATGAGATCCCGCCCTAAGCGAGCTGTCAGGGGTGGGGCCTGGCCTGAGGACACTGTCCCTGAGGCCTGACCTGGAAGGGTGCGGCTCCCTCCCAGGGACGCTCCTTTCTTTCTGCTACCTGGACACCATAAAACAAGTGATTTACCTCTACCAAAACTTTTCAATATGTTTATTACGGTTTTTATTTCTAGATATCCCCCAAGATCTCCTGTGCTCAGAGGCAGGGTTTGGAAGGTGGTGAAAGGAGAACTATAGCCGAATTGCTGTAGAAGGAGGGTCTGCTCAGAAGAGGCGCCCCCTTGAGTGTGATGTGGAAGGTGCGTCTCCCTCCCTGGTTCCTCGCAGTCTTCCCTCTGCTTCTTTTAACACCGTAATATGTGCAGCTTTCCTTTGCCCAGGTCCTTCTGCTCTGCCCTCTCTAGATTGCTGAGCATGGACTGAAACCTCTTCCCATGTTGTGGGTTTTAAAATTTGTGTCCTAACAATAAAAAGTCACAAACACTCATTATGGTACCAGAGAGATGCGGTTGTGCTGTGACTACCGCATCACATGACTCAGAAGCCTGTGACATGGGCTGGTATAAGGAGTATGGAGAGGTTTGGAGATGCTGGCTACAGAAGACCTAGAAATCTGTAAGACGAGCTTGATGAGAGATTATGGACTAGCAGGACTCCACTGGTTGCAGGTTCAAAATAGCAAAGGTGAAAGGCTTTGCTTTGAGAAGAGAGCCCAGGGCACCATGTTCCAGAATAGCGGTGCCCTAGGTTCTGTGTTCCTCAGGATGGGTTCATGGCACTCAGCCACACAAGTACTCAACCCCTGACGACTGCTAACCTGTCTACTGCTCCAGCTGGCAGCAGACACTGGTGTCCTCCACACGGTGCTGGGTTTAGGTGCATGCAGAATCTTTCTTTGCCACAGGAAAGGCCATTTTCTGGTCTCTTCACCTCCAATAGGATAAATGCTACAACTCTAAATATAACCTGCAGGATTCCTCATGATCGGCCCTCACTCTGCACTCTCATCTCTTTGGCTAATTCTTTCATGTTGCATTTGCGTAGCATTTGTCATTTTGTTAAAATAAATTTGGGCACAAAAAAAATATTTTCATTTACTTATCTGTAGGTTCACACCATAAACCAAAATCTCCTGTATAGAGGGATACATCTGATAAGTGCGGGTAAAGGAATTATGAGGGTGATGACAGTAAAACAACTTTGAAGTCTGGGATTTTTTTCATGCTGCATATGTAAACTCTTCAAAATACAGTGAAGTGCTGGCATTCTTCTCTATGATGCTGTTGTCTAGTACACTGAAGTTCCCCCTGACTCCAACCATGTATTACGTCTGTGGAAATGGGTTGACTGAATGTATTGGGAATTTCAGTGAGTTGACTTGGGTTTTCAGATTAGGACTAATTTGAGGTCAATGATGCAACAAATTTGGATGTATTTTTGTTGTGAAGTTAACTTGGAGCAAGTTTACACTTAATCAATGTTTTTACCTGTGAAGGAGGAGTTTTCCAAGTGAAACTCTGAGTCTGATTAATATGTCAAAGTCAAATTAAACAGGGAAGAATTGTGAACAGGATGATATATGCCTTATTGCCATTATTCAGAATGTTCTTGATGTCTTATGTGTGACAGACTATGTATAAACATGTGAAGTGACCCAGACCAGTGAATCACTGCATCCCAC